GGCCTCACCACATCGTCAGCAGCCCGGCCTCTGGCGGCTCCATGGCGACCTCTGTAAGGAGTGAGCGGGCAGTGCCCTGCTCACGCACCCAGGGAGGCGGTTCCAGCGCAGAGCTCGGGGCCCAGCCATGTGGCTTCAGACCCAGCACCCCTGCTCGGGCAGAGAGAACGAGGCCTGCAGCCAAAAGGCCCCGTCTCAGGTCCCAGAGGGGAAGCTGGGAGTGTCCCTCCTGAAGGGGCTCAAAGCCCCAAACTCACCTCTCACCAGATACCCACCACTTTGCTACGTCGCCTGTCTACTCGTGTCGCCCAGCGGAGGCAGGGGACTGTGCTTTACGTCTGTATCTCCCACGCCTGGCACAGAGGTGCCTCACAACTGACACTCATGTTCCAGTTCTCAGCATCAGTGATGCGAGGCATAACGCGCTACTACCGGTAGCTGCTCCGCGACCCCTGACAGAGCCTTTGCCTGCTGCGTGACCTCGCACTCCTGCTCCGTGGTGCACTTTGGGGCTGATGTCAACGTTTGTAAAAGTACTTTATGAACTTGAGGTTCTCCAGCCATGGAGGTTACTACAGGTCACTTCCTCCCCAGCGACGGGGTGTTGGCTGGGGACTGGCCACCTCCCTGGGCTGCCAAGTTCAGTCCAGCGGGGACCCCCCACCCCTACCCCCACTGGTGAGTGCAAGGGGAGCCCCCTCACTCATTCATGCATGTTCTGCCAACCAGTGCCTTGGGACAAAAAATGCCACTTTGCATCGCCTTCCATGGTTAAACTGTTCACACAGCCCCACGCTAAATGTGCCCCAAGCCCCACGGCAGGCCGTGGACCTTAGACACAGGCTCCTCTGTCCCAGCCTTCAGTTCCACGAGGAAAGGGGCCGGCCCTGGGCTGCCAAGCCCTTGTCCCCACACATCCGTCACCCGGATCTCCACTGCTGCCTGCCGTGGCTCTGCCCGCCACACAGCTCTCCAAGGAGGGCAAGTCCAGGTGCCAGGAGCCTCCAGGCAGCTGCTGGGCAGGCGGACACCACCATGTTCCGGGTTTCGTGACAGCAGGACACAAGATGTCTCTGTCATTAGCAAGGGCCGTGAGCTGAAGGCCTTCAGCCTGCAGGATGGTACAGTCCACCCGTACCTGGGAAAAGTGACCCCAGAGCCCAGCCCGGCCTCAGACCACAGCTTTCACCTTCACAAGGCATGCTGCTGGAAAAACAGCTCCGAGATGATCAGTAAGCAGACAAGGTCAAGGTCACCAAGTGAGGTGCTGACCACGCGAGGGAGAACGGCCAGCCCCCTGCTCTGCGTCTCCCTCCTGGCTGGTTCACGCTTCTCAGCGGAAACACCGAGTCTCAGTTCACAGCACGAGCCTGGTTTCAGCCCCAGAGGGGCAGCACGGAGGGGTGGGTAAAAGCCCCGAGTGGGGCTACCAGAAGTGGCCGCAGGACCTCAAGCAAGTTACGCAGCCTCTCCGAGCTCGTTTCTGCAACCTTACACACAGCAAGTCCTCCCTCCACAAAGAATGGCTGTGTGCACGCAGGGAGCTGGTGACAAAGAGAGTGTGCCTCACAAAAGATGCCCAGGTAAGCTGTGCGTGGTGGTGCACGCCTACGATCCCAACACTTGGGAGGCTGAGGCAGAAAGATCACCAAGAGTTCAGGGCCAGGCTGGTGACATAGCAAGACCCTGTCTCAAAAAAGGATGGGGGCGTTATCCCTAAGTTATCCTGACAAGCCCACAAGCAGGGTGCAGGGCCCATATTCAGTCAGCCTCCAGGAACAAACTAAGTGCAGGGGACACTGAATGGACCACAGAGACAGGCCAAGCCTCCTCTGAACAAACAGACAAGAGAGGCGGGTTAACCTGCCCAGGCTCAGACAGCTGCCGGGGCAGTACCAGCATTTGAATCCAGGGCTTGGGTCTCTCTGCACCACATGCCCTCCTTCCACAAGGCTGATGCAAACCTGGATGTTACAAAAGCTAAACTTGAGCAATCTACAGAGCTAGGGAGCTGTTCCCCTGCAGCCCTCCGGGCAGGTGAACACTCATGTGGGCCAACTCCAGTGCTCTGGAGCTCCTGGAAGTGGAGGAACCCAGGGCTCCTGCCTGCTGCTGCAGGATGAAGCTGCTGAAATAAAGGCAGTTTAAGACACAGGTTATAAATGTGAGCTCCCACCACCTACTAACGTGCTCCTGTTTGGGGCTCTCAGCCAGCAGGCAGGAAACACGACAGCGGGAAGCTGAGGGGACCCCAACAGGAGAGAGCCTGGGAAAAGCCGGGGGCCCCAAACAATGAGGCTAAGTCTGGGGAAAGGGTAACTAGCCCGCTCAATTCCAAGCACATGCTTACAGTTCATAGCTCAAAAATTATCTAGGGGTCTATGAGGTACAAGACACCAGCCTTAGACATCAATGACCCCCAAGTCCCTATCCTGGCCCAAACTATGTCTCTCTGAGTACCTTGGCTGCTTTGAGGCAGTGACGCAACCTCTCTGAGCCCATGGTCTCCTCACCTGTGAAAAAGCCTTCATCCAGGGTGGCTGGGAGCCAGGCCAGTGTCCAGAGCTGCGTCATCACTGCCTGGACACACATGACTGAGCGCATCCCTGCGCCCTGTTGTGTTTCAAAGTCTAGCGGTTCCTTGCGATTGGTTTCACAGGAGTTGCAATGGAAGTAACCAAAAATGGGAAGGTTTCAAGATTTCAGGTCATAAAATTCGGATTTTCATGTACTCCCAACAAACTCAATGCAGGAAATAGCGAAGTCATTTAAAAAAAAAGTGTCAGATTTCAGATTCGTTGCAGCAGGGCTTCTTCACCTTTAATCTGTGTAGAAATCACCTGCAGGATCTCAATGGCACGCAGGCTTGGCCGCAAGTAGATGAGCGTGGGCCAGGGAGGCCGAGTTTATTTCTAAGAGCTTCCAGAGAGGCTGAGGGTCTGGGCAACATTCTGGGGCAGCAAGGTTGTACAGAATCCCTTAAACAGCTAGAAATCAACCTGAGGAAAGGCTGATCTGATCGACAGAGCACGTCACAGAGAACTTGGAAGCAGCATGGAACCAAGCTGGGTAGCGGCTCCCGGAGAAAGGCGAACAGAGACAGGAGGGCCGGCCACGCCTGGGCCTGGCGAGAGGATGCCACACTCTACACTGTCCCGGCAGGTGACAGCACCCTTCAGCACCCCCAGACAAAGGTCTGAAAAGCAGCAACCAAGTGTCCTAGGATGTCTCAAGTTGGTCACCGTTCCCTAGCCTGGCTGGCCTGTCTTCAAAGACCTTTCTGAAATCAGGTTTACTTCCCCCTCTTTGTACCTCCGAATTGATGCTGCTTCTGTTGACAGCGGTCATTAAAAACTGCCGGTCAAGTTGCCAGGCACAGACTGCCCAGCAGTAGTAAAAGCAATGTGGCCGTCAGAGAAGGATGCGTTTTTACAGTGGGAAGGGAGGGATCGATGAAACCTCCTCACAGCAGCAGGATTAGAGAGGTAAGTTCTGAATATTCTTTGGCTCAGAAACACTAACACACGAGATCCTCCACATCCCCTGAAATGAGTTTCTTGGAGGAAGGCTGGAAGGTAATCCTTCCTGCTGCCGTCTACCAGGCGACCCAGGCCAGCCCTGCACTCTGACTTAGAATAACACGCATGTTTATTACAGTTCCTGTCATGCCGTACTGCTGGGCCTGGGCTCACACTCCAGTCATTCTGAGCCAGGCTGTGATGTTAAGCGCTACAGGAGCCGCCCCAAACTGCTGAGTGTGCACGCCCCGCCCGCTCATGGGGAGAAGCATGCTCAGGCAAGAAATGCCACCGCGGGACTGTCACCTGCGCCCGGGGCCCATAACTCATCCGTGCCATCACCAGGCTGCTGCCCGGCTCCGCACCCTGGCCCTGCACACTCCTGTATGCTCCACACCAACACAGTCGTGATTTCACCCGCCCGGAAGAGCAAAGTTCCGGATGAACCAAGTCTGGCCACCTGAGGGTCCAAGGGAGGACTTGCGTTTTCAACAGGCCATCTTGTTTCCTAGGCCACAGCAAGCCTGGCCTCAAGGGAGCACTACAGGAGGGGCTGCAACGGGGAACATTCTTCCCGTCCCTCTCCCCCAGAGATGGGAAAGGCCTATCCCTGAAGGGGAAACTGAGGCTGCAGTTCACCTAAGTTAACCACAGAAGTGGAGTCTGCACTGTCACTAACTTCGCTGGAGGCCTCCTTATTAACTAAGAAGGGAAGCACCTGCATTTCCCTGCCTGCCCCCCACTCTGGCTGGCCCCCAAACTCCAGTCCCACTGCCCACAGACACCTCACACTAAATGCCCCCGAACATATGGCCGCGTGCCCTCGCTATTTCCTGATTAAGCAGATGTCCACCACGTCCACCGTTTCAGCCTTTGCCAAGATGCCGAACACCTGCACATAACTTCAGCTAGCAAGTACAAGCTTTTAACCAACGCCAGCAAATTCATCTTAGAACCTAGGGAAAGGGTCAAGATTTCCTCCCTGTCCTCCGCTCTCTCGGCCTGATTCAAAGACACAGGAAGAATTTACCTCTTCTTAATTAAGAGGAAAGCGTGCTTCCCCGAGCTGCAGAACCCTGAACTTCTTCGGGGGACTCAAGCGTGTCCGCTCCCAGCTTGGGCTTCCGTCCCCACAGGGACTCCCGGCCGGCTCGGGGTCTGGACCCGGTTTCAGGAAGTTTGCGTTTGCTCCTTGTTCTGGGAGGTCTGAGAGCCACTTTTTAAAGTGCTCCTGCAGCTCCCAACTCCGGGGCTAGAGCACAGGCGTGGTGCTCCCAGTCTAGGCTTGTGTACACACACACGTGTGATTACTCGCTCCCCAGGACCCTTCCTCTTTCACGTGTCCTTGTGGTTCGGGATTCGGCCCCAGACCCCAGGAGCCACCGGCGCAATAAGGGGGGATCTGTCCTCCAACCCCTAGCCTCCGGGGTCCCGGCGCGAGGGGAGCGCGCAGGGACGCAGCGGCGCGTCCAGGACACTCACCGGGACCTCTGCAGCTGCTCCAAGGCGCCCGGGCCCGGCTGCTCCAAGGAGGTCTGCCTGGAGAAGGCGATGGGCAGGATTCCCTGAGTGAACGAGTTGAGGCGGCCCCGACTGCCGCTCGCGCTGCCGGGGGTCCCGGAGCCCAGGAAGGCGGCCGCCGGCACCTGCACGCTGGCGAAGGCGTCGTCCTCCTCCAGCTCCTCCTGCCCGGGCCCCTCTG